GGGGGGGGGGGGGGGGGGGGCGGTCTCACAAGCCAATTGTTTGTTGTTTTTTTTTCGAAAAGTACAAGCCAAAAACTTAAATGGGTTTTTCAGAGGGATGGAGATGGGGATTGAAAAAACAGTGGAATAACATTTTCACAAAATAATACTTGTGTAGTTCCAGAAAATATTCATACTTCTCTCATGGAAGGGATTTTTTTTATAAGCCCCCCCACCCCTCTGGAAATTCCAAATTATTAAGCTTCATACATTTCTTTAAATTTTTTGTTCTTACAGAAACCCCACCCCACCCCACCACCAGGAAATTCCAATCCCTTCTGCTGGGGGAGAATGGATATTTACTGGAGCTCCACATTCTACACATGTTAATTTTTATTATGATGAAAAAGAAGTTAAACTAATGGCAGCAATTAATCCAAAATATAAGTTCATAAATCTGTTTTTACCATGTCGGCATCAGTATCTTCTGATGGGACCTCCTCAGCTGTCTCGCTGTTTTCTGTGGTTGCACTGCTTAACAGACTGTGCTCCGAGATCTTCAGAGTCAAGTAGTTCTTCAAATCATCAAGCAAACGGGATCCATCATAACTGTCAACCTAAATCAACATATTCAAAATACCCCGTAAATCCTTACTGACTGCTTTTCATCACAATTATTTTAATGGTAGCTGCGTTAACATTAGGGACAAAGAAAGTGAGCATCTTCTCCTGAAAAAGAAATATGGTCCATGCAAGTTAAGTTCATTTAGAAAGCTGTCCTAAGAAAATATGCACGCTGATTGGTTAGAAATTGTGTTACCATAACTCGAGAGAAACTCATAACTAGCACGGGCTGTCGACATAATGATGGTGCGAGCAAAGAGAATTTACATTTTCATAATCAAAGTTAACCAGTTGTTTTCCTTTTTTTCATTGCGGTGTTTTCTAAAAGAAATAGAAAACATGTTCTCTGTGTTACTATCGAGTTATAGAAGCACTCATGAAAGTGTGAGAGAACTCGAAAAAGCTGTGGAAACACTCGCCTGTGTCTTGTGTTCCCACAACACTTCTAGTTCTCCCAAACTTCCACTCGTGTTTCTATAACTCGATAGAAACACGGTACATGTTTTCTTCTTCTTAAATAGAGTCAAATCAATTGCTGTCACTCTGGAATGAATAAATTTCCTAATTTTTCACTGAGCCCTGTTTTACAAAATCAAACCAAAGATACCAACCTCTCTTCCATCTTTAAACAACTTGAGAGTAGGAAATGCATGGATATTGTGTTCAGTACATTTTTTGCTTTCAGTTGTACAATCAATCTGTGAAGCACAAAGCATTGTCAAGAAAATAAACAGCATTACATATTATTTAATAACGAGATGGAATGAAATGATCTCCCCTTATTTAACAAATGTTGTAAAATACAGAAAGTCCCAGCCCTCGCAAAAAAAAAAGATCAACAAGTGAACCATATAACTATTAATTAAAATAAAGAAGGCTTAAGGATTGTAGAATGGTAAAAAGAAGCTACATGTTAAAATTACCACTCTCTCAAATTGCACATTACATAATGCTGCAATAACCCAAAATGTCCAGTTGAGACTCTTGATCAAGAAATTATGAATTCAAACTAGTAACATTGGAGTCAAGATTCGAGAAACAAGGAAGCCAGAATGAAAAGAAAATGAGACAGTCACTGTGAACTTAATTTTTACCAGTACTGTACATATATACACATTGTGAATCATAGGATTCAACTTGTTAAATATCTCAGATCTGAGCTTATACCTTGGCAACTGTTACATCTACACTGTCTTTATGAAATTCTGCTAATGCTTTCCAAGTGGGCGCAAGCTTGCGGCAGTGGCTACACCTGCCAAAGAAAGCACACATAAAAAGAAAAATCCATTAACAACACCAGTCTGATCAATACAGCGAGATTTTTGCAGCATGACTAAAACAGCATTCCACCGATTGACTCTACTTGGAATATTTCCCTGTACAGTGAATTTCAAGAGGAGAGAAGACTATTTGCTGGGTAGGCAAAAAAATACTCCACACTGAAAATTATAGTTCCACTTACCATGGAGCATAGAACTTCACAAAATGAAGTCCCATTTCCACATGTCTGTCAAAGTTCTCTGCAGTCAGTGTGTATAATCCATTATCAGATTCACTTGTTTCTGACTGCTCATTTTCCTTTTGCTACAAAAAGAAATAGGATGTGACTTTTTAAACTGAAACATGTACTTACACTTCGTTCCTCTGCAGTGAAGTGAACCCTAGTTTAACTGTCAGTGGCTAGGAAGTTGAGTAAGATTTCAGGTCACTACACTTGGACAGTAGTTGGTTGAGGAGAATTGCTACTTTTAGGATTTACTAACATTACTGTTAAACTTTCAGGGGTTTCACTAATGTTTCCAGCAGAAAGGCAAATGGTTCTCGCAGGTGGGAAAAATGTTTTGAACTGAACCTTTTTATAATCAAGAAAAACTTTCCTCTAGATGGTCAAACCAGGCAGGCAAAATCATCCACATGGCCTAGCCCTAAATCATGAAACCCCTGAATTTTATAGTTACTTCAGTAAGGCAGAGCTACTTTCAGACATTCATCTTAATTTTTTAAGATGGTACAATAGTTGAGGTGCTTCTAATACCTCTGATGTAACTACAAACTTGTCAATGAAGGCCTTCAGATCGTCCACTCTTCTTTTACCATTATATCTCTTGATTTCACCATGGTCGTAATACAGCTTTAACCTTTGAGAAGAAAAAAAACGTGGCAATTCAAGTCTTGACTGTATGATTAGACCATAAATGGGTCACTTGGCTATTCTTGATTTCTTGTAGGCCAAAAAAATTGCTTTCAATTTCAGACCAACTTGTTAGTCAAGAGTGTCTTCACATGATAAAAGGGCAGCCACATTTGTCTCCCAAAACAATGAAATGGTGGCCATGTTAGTGTACCAAACCAATCCTGTGGGAGTTCAACTCTTTTCTTGTGTAAACACTTTCTTTTGTTCCAGTAAATTTGCATGGCTGCTGGCCATGCAAGTGAAAATCCTCCAAAAGTCATGATATCCAATGCACAAGAACCTTACTCATCAGGATGTTCAAGGAAAAAAAAGCAGAAAATCCAAGGCACTACTTGATGAACGAGGTCATCAGGATTATTAACACTAACGACAAATACCAAATACCAATAATGTACATTTAGCCTAGACATTAACTAATTACTGCTGAAAATAATGTTTCCCTTACGTTGGATATGCGCGAATATTTTGTTTGGCACAGAGTGGAGTCTCTTTTGTACAATCAACCTGAAGAATTTATTAAAAAAGAAAGAATATCGATTCAGTGGAGAATGTCAGTAGATATATAACAGCAATTACTTAATTTAATACTAAATCATTAAACATCATTAAGTAATGAGAGTAGGAGCTCTACATTGTACAAATCACTCTGCACGCATTGCATATCTACATTATTCTAGATAAGTTGTCTTAGAACTCTCTGACGACTTTTAAGTATCAATATCAGTATTTTGCACAGCCTGCAGCCTTCAATAATATTTATTTTAAGCCTGCTGTACCTTAGCTATAGTTACGTGTTCGCTGTGAGGAATTTTGCTGTAGTGGTCTGCCAGTAGACTCCATGTTGGCATGAAACTCTTGCAGTATTCACACCTATTGGGAGTAAATTACTACAATCATCAGTTGAGTAAGGCATGAGGGAAGTTTGGTTACGAAGTTTTGGCCTCAAAATTATGGTGTTGTCACAGGCAACCTACCTACTTTCTGTTGGTAACGATATCAACAGCCTTTGGTTGCCTGTCGCGTTGCCTACAATTTCGCGCACTTTGCTGCCAATTGACGTCAAAGGCCGACAAGTTGCCAACGGATATGGAGCCAGTTGCTCGTGACAACAATACGATTTTTACATTAAAACTTGGTGACCAAACTTTCCTCCCGCCTTACTCAACTGATAATCGTAGTAAAGGCAGCTCTAGTCGGAGCTTAAAAATAAAAAAAAAATTAATTATCTAATTAAATCTGATAACCCCTGACTTCTTTTCTCATTTTTCTCCAACCTTTTCATTTTCTTCACTTTTTCCTAACTTTCTATTTTTCTATTTATTAATAAAAACCATTTGTAACTATATCATAATAGACTGGCCTGCCTAGACTAGCACTAGCTATCCACAGGCCAGTCCCACTTTTAAGTGTAAATTAAGAAATACAAAATGATTGACTGATTGCTGCGAAGGAAACTTTTCAACTGATATATGAGTTTTTAAGTTTAATTTCACTTTACTTTAGTATTGACATTGTGCTATTCACCTGGCCCATTGATTCCCCCCACCCCTCACCCCAGGATCAAGGCATTGGGTGAAGTAAGCCATTGTCACATCACAGATGAGACACCATTAATAGCTGTGTGGCTATTTTTTTTCTGTGGAAGGTATATGAAAGTGACATTTAGGGGTTTGGATCTCAAGGTAGAGCCTCTCTGCAAGGAACATTTCAGGGTATCCCTTCAGGGTGGAGGTTGGTGGAGGCTCTTGGCGATTTCCCTCTAAAGTACTGGGACTTGAAGTCTTGTATCAACTGGTCAGATTGTACAACTTTGTACAATTTAGTTTGGAAGTAGCTAAATTAAGATTACTCCACGAGCAAGATCACATTGATTGTTAGTAGCCTAAAAATTTCACAGGCCTTTTTTGACTCGTAAGCTTGCGTTCGTATGTAAAACATGTTCATACGCTTTGTTGTCCAGTTGCACAATCTCTGTGGCTAGCGCGCAGTAGTATTATACAAATGTTAGCATTTCACCGCTTTTCCAAAGATTCCTCGCAGGTATTCTGTAAACAGCTACGAATCGAACAAAGACGAGCTGATCAAGGAAGTCGATATATATAAACAACCTGATCCGACTTACCACGGGCCGTAAAACATTACAAAATGCGTGGATGATCCGAACACTTTGTCGTCAAAATCTACATCCGTGAGTGAAAGTACTTTATCTCCCAGGTTTGGAGAAAAATAAGCGAAGAAAAAAAGACAAACAAGTGCAACTACTCTGGTGGCCATGACTTCTGTGGAGACGACACGTTTTGTTTTGGTGCGAAGCCGCAGGACATCCAGGACACATTGCAGTTTTCAGCTGATCCAGGCTTCGACGGCCAAGGGGAAATAGGTAGCTCTGGGTACGAGGAAATGGAGAACATTTCGAGAAGGTTTACACTTTTCCAGCTCCGATTTTAAGCTTAGTTGTGTATCTTTGTGAGCAATTTTCATCAGTGAGAGGTTAGTGAAATTTCCATTACACTGCCTTGTACTCGTTATTTCTGAAACGTGACTCGAAGCCCTAGAAATTACAGGTTACTTACGGCAATTCAGACATAAGAGACCATCTCCTTGAGCATGAATTTTAACATCCCAAAATTTTGCTTGTCAAATATTGAAATCACTGCACTATTGTTTGAACCTCCGGTACCGGAAAACTTCTTGCATGTGACAGCAAAACGGTGCTTTACAACCCGGATATGATGGAGTTTTGCACCGGGCTCGGGCTCAGGGTGCTCTAAAAGTGCCAAAGAATCCAATGAGGTTTGCCAACTCAGTTTTGATACATTTTTGTATTGGAGGCAATCAGGAAGTTAAAAAAAAAAAAACCAAAGCTGAATGTGTTTTCAAACTGGCAGATAAAAGAATATCACCCTTGAAAATGCTCTGCCCCCAAGCTGACCTGTTGTAGTAAATGCCCTCCCCTGGGGGTCCTGGGGTGGGAAAAGTTGTCAAATGCTTGGCAAATGGCCAGGGCTGGAGGAGGGGGCTTGTAATTGACAGAGCCATAACACTGCTAGTCTTGTAACTTTGAAATAGTACCACCTAGATGCACTGAAATACTTCAATTTATATTATACCATGTATCATTTTCTCTTACACTGGTAGGTAAAATTTAAAGAAATGGCATTCAGAGAGTTTCTGGAACATGTCGACCAGATGTACTGTGATCTTCACATAGACCCTGCAACTGTTGATCACATATACACAGCAACAAAACAGATTGTTCAACAAGTGATGGACGAGATAGGGAGAAGAAAACCACACCTAAGTATCAAAGAAGTCATAAGTGTTGGCAGTTTTGAAGAGGGAACCAAGAACTGCTCTCCAAATGAGTTTGACTTCATGGTGTGCTTTGATTTCCTTTCCAGGAAAGAAACTGTCCAGATAGAGAGTGTCAATGGTTGTCAACCAGGTTACATGGTAGCTTTTCTTAATGCGTCTGTTGTTAATGATGATGCCATGGTGAATGTGATCAGAAAACTCTATGAGAATGTATGCTGCATCCACCATGAGGGGTTGCGGGCTTATTTCATAGAGGTCCTCNTCGGGCTCAGGGTGCTCTAAAAGTGCCAAAGAATCCAATGAGGTTTGCCAACTCAGTTTTGATACATTTTTGTATTGGAGGCAATCAGGAAGTTAAAAAAAAAAAAACCAAAGCTGAATGTGTTTTCAAACTGGCAGATAAAAGAATATCACCCTTGAAAATGCTCTGCCCCCAAGCTGACCTGTTGTAGTAAATGCCCTCCCCTGGGGGTCCTGGGGTGGGAAAAGTTGTCAAATGCTTGGCAAATGGCCAGGGCTGGAGGAGGGGGCTTGTAATTGACAGAGCCATAACACTGCTAGTCTTGTAACTTTGAAATAGTACCACCTAGATGCACTGAAATACTTCAATTTATATTATACCATGTATCATTTTCTCTTACACTGGTAGGTAAAATTTAAAGAAATGGCATTCAGAGAGTTTCTGGAACATGTCGACCAGATGTACTGTGATCTTCACATAGACCCTGCAACTGTTGATCACATATACACAGCAACAAAACAGATTGTTCAACAAGTGATGGACGAGATAGGGAGAAGAAAACCACACCTAAGTATCAAAGAAGTCATAAGTGTTGGCAGTTTTGAAGAGGGAACCAAGAACTGCTCTCCAAATGAGTTTGACTTCATGGTGTGCTTTGATTTCCTTTCCAGGAAAGAAACTGTCCAGATAGAGAGTGTCAATGGTTGTCAACCAGGTTACATGGTAGCTTTTCTTAATGCGTCTGTTGTTAATGATGATGCCATGGTGAATGTGATCAGAAAACTCTATGAGAATGTATGCTGCATCCACCATGAGGGGTTGCGGGCTTATTTCATAGAGGTCCTCGAAGAAGTTACGACATCCCTGTTGATGAAGAAAATTGTGACACCACAAGGTGTTTTGGTCCTTAAAGGTTCAGAGTTTCTGTCGCTAAGATTGGAGTGGCATAAGTTCAAGGAGGAATATAAAGGACCTGATATTTACAATGGGCTTTGTCAAAGGGATCTGCCATTTCAAGAATCTTATTCACTGGATGTTGATGTTGATATTATGCCGGCTGTTTCTGTAGAGGACTTGTCTCTTTTGAGTCACCTCCATGGGTTCCCCAGTCATCTAAATGGAATTATAGAAAACCAAAAGTTCCATCTTGTGTGCAAAGTTTCAGGGCAATCACCTGCTGCACCTTATCTCCACATTTCCCATGCTACTACGGAGGTGTTTCTGGTGCGACATCTTCATCCAATCCATAAACAATGCTACAAGATACTGAAGTATCTTTTAACGCATGGCACGGAAATCAACAGACCAATCAAAGACATAAGCTTGTCTTCTTATGTGTTTAAAAATGTAGTACTTTTTCATGAATATGACAAGCTATGCTCAGGAACACCAGATACTGCAACGTGTTGCATTGAGATTATACGTTACATCAGAGCCCAATTAAGGAAGGGCGTGTTTCCCTCATTCCTGATGAGAACAACTAATGTGTGGGGTCAGTGTTACAAATTTCCACTGTCGTATTGCTGGAAGCCAATGGATCTACCGGAAGAAATTTGCCTTTTTGACTGCTTTTTCGTCCTGTGGTTCCAGCTTTTGAGGCAATTTCTTGGAAAGGCACTGACAATATTTCAAAAAATTGAAATGCAATTGCAAACAACAGGAATAGAATGCCAAAGTAGAGGCATATCACCAGATGATCATCTGTCAAGCACCAATGAAATAGTGGAATATGTTCCAAATAAGTATGACCCATTTATTCATGAGTTTGAAGTTCTACAAAAGGATGTATTAATCATTACAACCAAATACTCTCAAAATGAAAGTAATGCAAAGACTATTAACCATGTTGGCAAACCTCCTTCAGAAAGAGTTTGGGAAATGGTTTTGCCTAGATTTCCAGAATTTCTCACAAGAATTGAAAGTGTGTGTAACAGGAAAGTAAGTATCCTGAAAGAAAATTTTGAAGAACTTGAAACATTGGACAGTTAGTGGCAGAGAGACACCAAAGATTCCAAAGCAAGAATGAATTCTGATAGTCTAGATTCAGCTGTCTCTTTCCAACCTGAACATAAAAAAACGTTCTGTTATTGTTCCATAAAAATAAAAACCTTAGCTAAGACGGACAAACGTAAGCTCAGAAAAACACAACTAATCACACCAACTAAGCAAAACAAAAGACAACTAAGCAGAACAAAACACAACTAAGCAAAACAAAAGGCACCTAAGCTCAGAAAAACAAATAAACTCAGAATAACACATCTAATCTCAGAGAAACACAACTAAGCAGAGCAAAACAGAACTAAGCTCAGAAAAACACAACTAAGCACAACAAATCACAACAAGGGCAAACCGTACCATTAATAAAACCACAATTATTGAGAGGACTTGCTTGCCTAGCTTTTGCGTTCATGTATTCTTGAAGGTTTGCATGGCTGATTCCAAGAGGTTAAATGGAAACCATGTACATTCTAGATCAACTCAAGTACTGTGTTTGTGATCATACACAGCTCTGGTATTGGACGAACAAATGTTGAAATTAAATGGAAATATTGCAATGGGTAAGCTAATCGATTCAGTATTAGGCACAGCCCTTCCCCTCCATCCCACTGCAAACTGTTCCTTGTGATCACTTGAAAGTTGCCGGATTCTGCAAACAATCAGTAAAATCGGAAGATTGCCTTTGGCCACTCTAAAGTGGCCTTCGCACTCGCACAAATTGAATGAATCCAAACAAAATGGACCAAAATCCCAGTATGGATACGAAGGATTAACGGACTCATAATAATTGTAAAGAGACAAATATTCTTCATCTGAAAAACCAGTGGCAGATCTAGGGAAGGGCCCACCCTTATTTTGGGTGAAAAAAGAAGAAATGACTGAAGGAAGAAAAGCCGGCAGAGCAAGTTAAACAAAACCGGCCCCCCATCCCCCCCCGCCTTAGCTCAAAGTCTGGATCCACCACTGAAAACCATCACCGTAAGCCATTACAAGAGGGTTATGACATCTTCACAACACGTATTCTCTAACTGCTGTCCTTGTCTTGCTCTTTAATATCCTCTTTCTCAAAGCGAGTCTTGTTGTCCATCCTCCATATGAAAAAAAGATGTCATTCACTTGCAAATTAGACTCATTTTGATATGTGTAGTTGTGCACCAAGTTTCGCTTTGATAGAGGCTTAAACCCCCTTTAGTCACGCAAACTTTTCACGATTCTCAGGGTGCGGTTAGGACAAGGTATTACCATCCAGTGTTTCAGCCAGAAAATTTTTCTTGAGGGCCAAAGTGGCCCCTGAAGATCAATTTTTTAGGAAAGGGGTCAATAAATTGAAAGATACAGAAGGAAAAAATGCATTAGGATACCAAGAAAAATAAAGCAGTTTATTAGGATCTACGATAAAATTTAATAGTAAGTGCTTTTTGAAGTGTTTCTACTCAATAAAGTTACTTTTGAATCAGATACTAGTATGAAGGATCCGTGCATTACAAGAGAACAATCCTTAGGCACACATGATGTGGTCAATGATCAAGGGTTTGCAATACATTATAGGGCGATTTCAAACACGGTCAGCCATTTGCAAGTTTTGCGATGTGAGAGAATCAATACAGCAAAGTAAAAGGACACATTGACTTCTTTTCTTATGTTGAATATTTTAGAAGCAAACATCTTTCAATGTGATTTTCTAGAAGGACATAATGTGTGACAAAATAACCGTTACTGATCGTCAACACAGAAAGATGTAGTCGCCATTATGCCGTATTACGGCGACTAAACCAGAATTTTTGGTCGCCAAGGATGAAATGCTTGTTGCATTGGCGACCGTACGATCACAATTTCGAGCCCCGGGGTGGCTTTTAAAATATTATGCCCGTGTTAAGCCTGCAGTCTCGTGAAAGGAAAGGGCCAAATTGGCCCTTTTTTCGTCTTTCTGGGGGCCATCTCTGATTTAAACGCGGGATTCCCGCAATGGCGCGCTCTGGCGAAAACACTGCCATCACACTCTTAACCAGCTCTGCTACTTTTTCTCTAACAAACACGAACTTTATTAAAATATATTTAGAGAAGGATATCAAAAGAGAACGCAGTCTCCGTAACGTAACAATGCGATAACAACAACGACAATACAACTGCAAAATAACGAACACGACAATATGTTCTTAAATTATGACCTCGGTTACAAAAATGTATCTCTTTGTATTGATTAAAAATATGTTCCTACATATTGTCTTAATTTAAACTTGGCAAATTTCAAAAGATTTCACATGGTTTTTAAGAAATCGTTGCATTGCACTCGATGACTCATCAAATGTTCTGGACTAGTTATAGCAACCTCAGAACTCTGAAACGTTTATTTTGATAAAATTACTTCCACTTCAACAAGAACCAACTAAACTGTTCTTGCAGTTTGCTCGGTGATTTCAGGATCACATGAGCAAATCCTACATTCTTTACACCACATTGCAATAATAAATAATACTTGAACTACACCTGCGCTTGTCAAATAAAGTTGCAACGACAGGAAAAACAGTCTG